AGGATTTTTAGGGCAGTGAAAATACTATAAGGATGGATATATGTTATTAAATACTTGTCCAAACTCTGAATGTGCAGCACTAAGAGTGAACCCTAATGTAAATTATGAATTTCGGGTGATAATGACGCACCAATGCAAGTTTATCAGTTATCACAAATGCAGCAACCCAGTGGGGATATTGATAATGGGGCAGGCTGCGCATGCATGCAGACAGAGGATGCGTGGGAACTCTCTGTACCCCCTGCTCAATTTTGCTTTGAACCCAAAACCACTCTGAGAAATAGTCTGCTTTTTTTAAAAAAAGTTTATAAAATGTTTTTTAAAAGGGTGATCTCGTGCTTATGTTTCTAACAGTGGTCCCTACATTTGTTACCACTCAACCAGGTTCATTGCCTGCTGCCCAAGAGGAAGCCAATATGTCGACACAGCAGGTGTTACAGCAGAGAAAGAGTTTAACTCTGCATAGAGCTAAGTGGGGAGACGGGAGGAATTTCTCAAATCTGTCTCCCTGAGAATTTGAGAGACAAGGTTTTAAAAGACAGTTTGGCAGGCAAAGGCTAGGCAGTTGGGTCTGCTAATTGGCTGGGTTCAGGGCAGATCCACAGGGGTGTAGAAATTGTTTTCTTTGCCAACCAGGTTCTTGGGTAGGGGTCCCAAGACCAGTTGAGTCAGTTTCTTGGTATGGGCCACTGGTCTGGGTGGGGAAGCCATTCCACTGGAATGTGGGACCTGGAAGATATCTCAGAAACTACCCCTAGGTTTCAAAAAGGTGCTGTTATTTATGGAGCAAGCTAAGAATCTTTATGACCATCAGCAGTGACTCCAGAGTAGTAATTACAGAGAAGCAAACAAGGGAACAGTGACTAATTATTATCATTATTTTTAGCTGGACCTGTGCCTTTGCAGAGTTTTTGGGTCCTTACCCCAGTTCTCACCTTGTACTCCTTTCTTAATTTATAAAGGATGGTTTCACGTTTACACTGCTTTATTAAAATTAACCGCGTCTGCTGTCGTTGTATCTTCTGAGGCTTACAGGTTTGAACTACTTTAGGGGACAAGCTGTATCACTGCACAGGACTTTATTTTGGGAGTGGGGAGCAGAGGTTGGAGGGTGGGAACGGCGCCTCCATCCAGGCCCCAAAAAGGGTTTTCTGTCTAAGATCACTCTCTAAAACCAGGCACTATACTATGACTTCATTCATCCCAAGATTACTGTAACTGGCAAGGAATTTAGCTAATTAGAATGTTTTTGGTCTTTCAAGAGAGATAAAGTTTTGTGGAAACAATGATAGACTTCTGAGAATTAATAAGGTACCTAGGTTTTGCACTTTGCCACTTTAAAAGGAAGAATGATGGCCCCACTACTTGTTTATATTGGCTTCTATTCTTCTCATTGGTAGCAAAGGGAATAAATAATGAGTTTATACAAAAAGAAATTCTTCCTATCAGTCTTGATTCTGTAATTGGCTGGTAACTGCATCAATTAGCAGCTGCAGGTCCTGTTCTGCCTTTTGCCTGATCTGAACTCGGTGTGTATCTTAGGAACCAGATCAAACAAGGATCCCTGCCTCCCAACATAAGCTATTTCCTAGTAACAGAGTCATGGTGGTGACACTGATCTGAGCTGCAAGTATTTTTAAAGAAATCAGATTTAGGGGAAATTAGAATTTTACATTGAACCAAACATATAGCTCACAGCCCTATCACTGTACTTTTAGGGCCTTGCACACCTCTTGGCCACTTGAGCTCTAGATATAGCAAACTGATACATAACTAAATTTTTTTCATCGTTTATTTTTAATAAGTCAGGAATTAGTAGAGTTACAGATTTATCACGCTCTTTGATTTTATTCAAATATGTCAATCTTAGGTGATAATTGCCAATTAGCTGAACAATAATGTGAAACATTGAGTAATTTTACATTATAATTACTAGATTCAAAGACAAGGCTACTTTATATTTTGCCTAGCCCTTTTCACCCAAGGGCTTTTAATCACAAAGCCATTTCCAGAAAAAGTTGTCAAATGCCCAGGATTTCCTCCCTGGCGTTCCAAAATTTAACATCGGAGTTATCAGCTTTGCCTCCATAGCTCCTTAGGCATCTATGGAAGGATTTCAGGGGTTCTTTAGCTGAACTTGTATACTAAGTTGTGTTTATGTGTGTACTTTTCTCAGGAGAGAATCCACAGGTTCCACTGGGTTTTAAAAAGGTTCTTGGCAACCTAAAAATCAATGTGGCTTCTCTCTCCTTTCTCTATCGCAAAATGTGCTTGCACCAAATACCAAGGCCATGAATGCAGTAATTTGGTAAATCATTCTTAAGGAACTATATTTGCCTTTTAAAGGAGTTGTTTTAAGACCAAAGCCTTACCCTAAAGAAATTATTCCACTAGCGAAGATTTCATGGATCAGATGGTAAGCCAGAGGGCTTTGAAGTTACCTTCAAATCACACCAGTAGGTGTCCTCGGAGTCCACCTGTGCAGCTGGTCAACTCTAGTTTCTCTTTTTGCAGTGTTCAGGCGACCTGAGGTCTTTAGGGGACTATAAAATTAAACTGCACCTCCCTTCTTTGTACATAATCAGTGAATATGTTTTCAGTATGCAGAGATCCTAGAACATTTTTTCACCTGGTGATTAGAATTTAACCTTAAGTATCC